AAGTTAAAGGGGCGGGGAGAGGTACTAAGACCAGTGATTACCAAGGACACTGTGCATGCATGAACTTCATTAAATGGACCACACAGCTCCAGTTTACAAAGGCTACTTTGCACTTCAGAATCTCTCCAACCAACAACATCACCTTCCTGAATATGAGTCTATAAGACCCTGTAAGTCTTAAGTGTAGCTAAGAGGAAGAAACCCAGATACACCAAGAAATGAGAGGCTGTGAATCACTTAAATCACACGAGATCTAGAACCTACTAAAAACAGAACCGTGAAATAGAACTAAATAAGCAATAAAGTGTCTGATCCATAACTGCTTTTGGTTCTGTTGCTACAAGAGCACATATCAGAGAAAAAATTTTAAGAATGAGCAAATAAGTAAAAGCTTCAGTCCACAGAAGCTAAGGGGCTCTGGGCAGACCATAATTCTAAGTCTCAGTATTCTGTCTTGACGTTTGCTACCAAAGTGTTCTACTAAACTGCCTGCCAAGGAGCAATGAAGCAGAGCCCTAGTAATTCTCTCAGCAAGCTACTGAGATTGGAAGGCTAATTTAATGGGGCAGGGCCAAGTGCACTTAACAAACTGCACATCTGTAAGATGGAAATACGTTGTCCTCGTCTTTAGCAGTAACTCTCACTAAGTAGCTCTCAAGGAGTTTTGAAGCCTTTCTCCTTCTCGGTGTGTAGCTGCCAATGAGTGTAATTCCTTCTGCAGAAAAGAGGCTGCCAAAATGGGGGACTGTACCCTAGACCCACTGGAGCTGCTGTGAATTGAAAATTTTGAGCTGCATCTGATCCCGTCCCTGAAGAACACATGCAATCTTGTTCTCCATGTTAGTAACCTATATACCTTTTCTAAGTCCCTTTCACCTTGCCCAAACGGAAATCAAATCATGGAATCACATGGAAGGGGAGTGCATTTCCACGTCAAGCTTTTGGGTGTAAGCCAGGCCACCTGGGTGGCCCCAAGAAATCTGCTTCTATCTGCTGTGCATGGGGAGAGTCCAGCCCAACCCTGAAAAAAAGGAGTTTTCAAGACCTCAAAAAGATGAACTCCATTTTAAGCATGGCTATTCTTTTGATGTAAGGAATCAGACTCTTGTCTGCCCAGCTTTATATGATTCTATGCAACATGGCTCTGACTTGCCTAGGATTACATTTCTAAAAAAGGGAGCATAACTGTATGGAAAGCACGCACGACACACGGCTTTGCTCAGCCACTCACTGCAGCTCTGGGCACATCACTTCTCCTTTCTTGGTTTCCATTTTCTCAGCTCTAAGGCAAAAATAATAAGACCAAATTATATCTGAGGCTGCTGTCTACCTTCAGATCCTCTGGTTTTCTGGGGTTTTCTGGGATGTCTCTCTCTTTGAAAGCAGTATTTTCATCATCCATTCTTTCTGGCCTTTCTGGTTAGCCCTTATTCATCCCCAGAGACTTTACTAGTCAGATGTCCTTTGCCTTATGCTGGAGAATATTCTGTATGACTCTTCAAGTCACATAAGAGACTAAGACACACGTGTACTTTCTTTGGGGAGCCTGCAGATAGGCCCTTTCTAACCCTGGGCTCATAAACTCGTATACAGAAGACTTGCAGCCTTTAAGTAATTAGTGACCTTCCCAGAATGCTTTTCTCTTCTCTCCCTTCTCTTCAGTTTTCCTCATATTTTCTCAATCTTTTTCTTTTTTTCCTCCTTTCTCATCTTTTCTCACTTGGTCCTGCCAGCACAACTAAAGGGGTTATTTAGTCCCATTGGTAACCCGTAGGAAAATAAGAAATCGCTGCTTATCTTCAACGAACAGAACCATGAGATTAGGACTGAAAGCTATTTGAAGCACATTCATGTTGACAACATTAAGAAAGCTGTAACATATGTGGAAAACCCCAAAGACTCCACCCCAAAACTGCCAGAACTCATACAAGAATTCAGTAAAGTGGCAGGATATAAAATCAATGCACAGAAGTCAGTGGCATTTCTATACACCAACAACAAGACAGAAGAAAGAGAAATTACAGAGTCGATCCCATTTACAATTGCACCCAAAACCATAAGATACCTAGGAATAAATCTAACCAAAGACGCAAAGCATCTGTACTCAGAAAACTATAAAATACTCATGAAAGAAACTGAGGAAGACACAAAGAAATGGAAAAACGTTCCATGCTCATGGATTGGAAGAACAAA